ATGGGTACCAAGGGGCCCAAAGAGGGCCAAGAAGACATTCCCCACACCATTACATCCCCACCACCAGCCTGAACTGTTGATACAAGGCAGGATGGATCCATGCTTTCATGTTGTTGACGCCAAATTCTGACCCTACCATCCGAATGTCGCAGCAGAAATCGAGACTCATCAGACCAGGCAACGTTTTTCCAATCTTCTATTGTCCAATTTCGATGAGCTTGTGCAAATTGTAGCCTCAGTTTCCTGTTCTTAGCTGAAAGGAGCGGTACCCGGCGTGGTCTTCTGCTGCTGTAGCCCATCTGCCTCAAAGTTCGACGTACTGTGCGTTCAGAGATGCTCTTCTGCCTACCTTGGTTGTAACGGGTGGTTATTTGAGTCACTGTTGCCTTTCTATCAGCTCGAACCAGTCTGGCCATTCTCCTCTGACCTCTGGCATCAACAAGGCATTTCCACAGAACTGCCGCTCACTGGATATTTTTTCTTTTTCGGACCATTCTCTGTAAACCTTAGAGATGGTTGTGCGTGAAAATCCCAGTAGATCAGCAGTTTCTGAAATACTCAGACCAGCCCTTCTGGCACCAACAACCATGCCACGTTCAAAGCCACTCAAATCACCTTTCTTGTGCTTGGTTTGAACTGCAGGAGATTGTCTTGACCATGTCTACATGCACTGAGTTGCCGCCATGTGATTGGTTGATTAGAAAAAAGTGTTAACGAGCAGTTGGACAGCTATACCTAATAAAGTGGCCGGTGAGTGTAGATTTATACATCTATATAGCTATATACTGTGCTGTGAAAAAAGTATTTGCCCCTTTCTGATTTCTGTGTTCTAATTATTATTCATCACACAAGGTTTCAGTCCATCAAACCAATGTTATTATCACACAGAGACTACTCAAGGAAAATGCAGTTTCTAATGATGATTTTATTTACCAAGGGGGTTAAAAAAAATTTAAACCTATCTGGCTCATGTGAAAAAGTAAGTGTTATTTCAGAAAGTAACTCACTAATGGCACTTTAGGGAAAGCTGAGTTCAATTTCATAAGCAACACACTAGCACCACATTGGTTGAATGAAGAAATCACTTCAACAGAATCTGTGAGACACATAGGCTACAAGATCTCAAGAAACAAAGCCATGATCCAAATAAATTCAAGAAGAAATTCGAAAAAAAAAAGTGATTGAAATCTATCAGTCTGGAAAAGGTGACAAAGCCATTTCCAAGACTCTGGGGCTTCAGCAAACCACTGTCAAAGACATTATCCACAAATAGATAAAACTGGAAACAGTGGCAAACATTCCCAGGAATGGTCGACCAGCTAAAATTACTCCAAGAGTGCGACGGCGACTCATCCAGGAGGTTGCAAAAGAACCTGGAACAACATTCATAGAACTCTAGACCTCGCTGGCCTCAGGTCAGGTCATTGTTCACAACTCTACTATCAGAAAGACACTCTTCGATCATGCAGCAGGGCAATGATCCAAAACACACCAGCAAGTCCCCCTCTGAATGGCATTAAAAAAAAAAAAAAAACGTTTTGCAGTGGCCAAGTCAAATTCTGGATTTGAATGTAACTGAGATGTTGTGGTGTTACCTTAACAAACAGTTCATGCTCGAAAACCCTCCAATATGGCGGAATAGAAGCAATTCTGCAAAGAAGAGTGGGCCAAAATGACTCCACATCGTTGTGAATGACTCATCACCACCTCGCAAATGCTGGATTTCAGTTTTTGCTGCCAAGGGCGGTACACCCCATTAGGAGGTTCAGGTCGCAATTACTTTTTCACATCGGGAAAGGTGGATTTGGATTTTTTTTTGTGCCTTAATAAATGAAATTGCCATTTAGAAACTGCATATTGTATTTCCTTGGGTTGTCTCTGTGTGATATTAATAAACCTGTGTGTCTGTGATAAAAATGCAAAGAACACAGATATCAGGAAGGGGGAAATACACTCTCTCGCACTCTCTCTCTCTCTCTCAAAAAAAATAAAAACTCTGCATTACAACACTTTATGAACAAAC